AGTGCTTGCAAAGCACAATAGGACAATGATCTGTGTCACGCATTAAGCAAACCCCTTTCTTTAAGTAAACTGAGGAGTATTCACTCATATCCCATGATGGCTTGCTGTTTCAGCTGGTGTTAATAGGTGTGGTGTGTTCTTGCTTGCTGGATTTTTATTTGTCTCTCACGTCCCTCTTTCTTTTAGAGTGAAGATTCTTAGTAACAGGACAACGAAGAGAGTCTGTCTAGGAAACCGGTGTCATTCACTTTGTATACAAATCTGTACAAAGGATCCTGATAAGGCTGTCCAACTCATCCCTAATAAATGGGATGATTATAGGAATGACACCATTGTCTCTTCTTTTTCTTCCTTTTTTCCTCTTTCTCTTCCTTTGAACTAGCCACCTACAGAAAATAAAAGAGAAACTATTAACTTGTTATACATGTTAAACCATATTTGACCTTTTTAATAAGCGCAAATCATACCAAGCCTCTCCACTAGTTCTGGATGATGTTTTTTAAGGGCATTAAAGAAGGCTGCTTTGACCCTCCACCCTCCTGAACGCAGTGGTCCTTCAAAGAGCTCCCTCATTTTATCTCCACTTGTCGGTGTAGCTCGAATATTTGAATAGGCTTCAGGATGGACCAGGTCTCCAAGCTCTTCTGCTATCGCCAGCACTTCAGAAACTTCTTTGATTAACGTTGCCCTGTTTTTATCAACAAATTTTGCTGATTGTAAATTAAGAAAAATAACAGCATGTATTTAAATATCATTATAAAATTGTGAATTTGACTGTGAAATAATATATAATACACACCTTTTTCATTTTCAGTCAGATTTCTAGCAGAACTGCTCACATTATTCTGCTGCCAAAAGAAAAGAAAATATATTTGGTCTCTACTCTTTAACTATATAACTACACAAACATCTGATTTGACTGTCAATCCTTTTGATTGTTTAGGATGATTTTTTTATGTTTTATCTTTTTAATTTAACACAGCTTTTGGTTTGCCTACTTTGTTTCTGAGGGAGGTAAAAATTGGAAACATCCATCCTCTTTAGCACAAAATTTATTACATGTATTTATACATAACAATATTTACGTACAAATGTTTAAGTTGGTTTTGTTGTTCTCAAGTATCTTCTGATCAAAATTAGATTTGATTAAATGAAGTCACCCTGAGAACTGAGAGGCAAAGGACAAAGTCCAAATAAAAAATACCTGCAATGGGATGTCCACAGTATCATTTGATGCTGGCGGTCCTGAAAAAGAAAAATATATATGTCTGATGTTTCTTGTTAATAAGAAAGAAATGTGTATGAGAATAAACTAGGGCTGTCAGCGTTAACGCGTTAAAAAGGGATTTATCCGCATTAACGCATTAACCCTAACCCTAATCTGCGTTAAACCCTAGAATAAACATAAGTGACAAACCTGGCATCTCAGCAGTGAAACCAGATGGACGTGACATGTTGGAATCTTGATGACCAAGTTGCATATTCTAGACCAGAGAGATAAACAGAACGCAGAGAAGTCTGATAAAAGTCTTCACCATTAATTGCTATTATCAAGTTTTACTCTTGAACTAAAGCTTTACACTAATATCTATTTTTACAGTACATTGTGATTGTGAATCCTTCCTACTTGTGTCCAAGTGACATGTGGCATAATGTGAAAATCAACTAATAAGATCATTCATTCTGTCTAATGATGCAAAGTGTAATTAAAATGATCAAGAAACACTTGAGAAAGACTTGATAACATTTCTTTTCACTTTGTGAGAGGTAGATTTGTGAGTGCATATTAAATACCTGCATTTCAGTTCTTCCATCAACTTTATCATTTGACTTTGACTGTCCTGAAAAAAAGAGAAATATCTGTATGATGTTCATTGTTAATAAGAAAGGAATAAGTCTGAGAATAAAGTGACAAACCGTACTGAAGAATCTACCTGGCATCTCATGATTAACACCGA